CTGATCTTCAAAGTGTTCAGCCCAACGAGCCATACGGCGCTCCTTATTGTGTATCAGCGCACCCGCGCTGTCTCTGATTGTCTCACTGACGCCTGGTTTCCTGGGACCAGTGGTGCGTATTAGCTGGAAGAGCTTGCGGTAATTGCCTACTGCTCCTGCCTCCTCCATTTCTTGAGCCCGACTGGTCCACCAGGCTTCCTTGTCAGCACATAGGCTCCGCTTTAGTTCGCGCCTAATTGGCCGTCTGGTCACATTGTGTTCAGAACCAGCCGGGAGGTGTCTTCTAGCTTCCAACAGGTTCACGGACCTCTCGGTATCCAATGACTAGGGCGGTGACGATGGATAGTGCCACAAGCAGATGCTCCTGCGTCGTGCATGGCGGCCGAGATCCTGTCCCACTGAAGCTCGGTATGCAGTGCTTCTTGATAGGCTTGCCTGACCGAGGGCTCAGACAGTTTCTCAGTTGCTAATCGGAGGGAACGCTTAGTGTGGTTTCCGGTAAATTTCATGGAGAAACGACAGCTTACCAAGGCATGATCAAAGTCGACACAGGTACTCCAGTACGAGCGGCGATCCAGGATGGAACCACGCCATCTGTAACTTATGGCTATGTTGTCAATTTGGGTCCATTGCTGGCCAGCTACAGGAGGATACCAAGTAGCACTGCGGCGCCCACTGTGTCTAAAAACAGTGCTACTAAGAAATAATTGGTGCTCCGCACGCGGTTGCAGCAGACTCTCATCGTTATCAGTCCATTCGGAGTTAAGCCCATAATTACCACCCAGCTGAGCTTATGAAGAGCTCAGACGCCCTAATTGTGCATTCATATCCCCTATAATACTATAATATCTGAACTAGTAGCACTGCATAGTAGTGCGTTCAGTCCGTGATAAAATGTGTCCTTGACAGCATTTGAACTGCAATCGGTAGGGGCGTAAGCGGAAATTACAAACAAACAACGTATTGTACTACTTCGTGAATCAACCTTGGCTGATGTCGTCAAACGCGCTGCTCATAAACGGCTGTTCACCAGAATCCAATCGACCAAAGATGGCTCAGCCTTGGAGCTTAGAATGATACCTACACCAGCTTGACCGGTGAGTGCTGCATCGGCGTCTCCGGATGCGTGTAACCAATAACGAGAGGATAAGTCGGGTGTAGTTAATTCAATAACCCCGTTTGGGTCATTGATCCTAGTTTCGGACACATAACACACATCAATACCCAGTGTGTTCAAGGTGGGTGCGAGTGTAGCCTGTTGACCTACTTGTCTTAGAGTGCGAACGTTGAACGTCGCTATGGAAACGGGACAGCGTTGCCTTACAAAGGACTTTTGCCGATAGGCGTCCGGTGCGTATTGTGAGAAGGTGGCTGCAGGTGGTTCTACTCCAGTGACACTTCGGTTGCTGTCAATTAAGCTGGGAATTATAGAAGGAAGATTAATAATGGGGTCGGGATGGGAGTAAAAGAAACAGGTGGAAAAGAAAGAAAGGAGGCGCCAGCAGTAGCATGTTTTCGCTTATCATTCCTGCTGTATGCAGTAGATAAGGTGAGCCTTGATAATCTGCGCGACGGTCGATGCAGGATAAAGTTTATATTTGAAGAAAAAGTCATGGTTGTATGTGGGCTGGAATACTGCCATGGCGCCCAGACCTAGACATGAAGACGGTTAGGGTCCTCATCCAAAGCCTTTGGGTCAAAAGCCTGTCCGCAAGGCAGCGGGGAGGTGGCAGTGATTTAGTTTTAAAGAAATGGACGCCATCCCATTTCAAACCTCCAACCTGGAGGACCAGGAGACTGAGTTTGTCTGACCTCTCACCATTGACCAACCTGATAGGAGTATCTCTCAAGATGCCCGGAGGCACCACCCAGTATAGCTCAATGGGTCAATGAGGTACACAAACCGTCGCACCACGTTAAAGTCCAGTCTCGTTGCGACGGATCAAACACTTGTGGTCTCCACCATTCCACACGCAATCGAACGGCCAAGCGGAGAGATTTGTGAATACATTCAAACGCACTCTCCTCAACTCAAGGTGGGAGGCAGACATAGAAGAGGTGGTTGACTGCTTCCTTTTTCTGTACCAATCTACACAAACTTCAAAAATGCCGGGTGGCATATCACCAGCAGAGGCAATGATGAAGAGAAAGCTTCGCATGCCATTTGATGCAGTTCGGCCCTCCTCAGAGTCCACAGCTGGTGAAAGGAACCTCAAGTTGGAACGTGACTTTGATCGGCGGTATGGTGCTAAACGACATTCGTTTAAACCAGGTCAGTCAGTACTTGTACGTGCTTACCAGGAAGGACACGCAAAATGGACGCCAGGCACTATCCAGGACAAGCGCAGGAATGCCATTTACAACTTGCTGGTTGGAACGCAGGTATGGGTACGCCATGCAAACCAACTACGGCCAACACTGTGTCAGGCACAGGCAACAGAATCCGCCGAGCTTCCATTTGACCCGTTGACGGACAGTTTCAACTTACCTAAACAGCCCGTCGAAGAACCCTGTCATCAGACGATTGATACCAGACCGCAGAGCACGGAACTTGAATCCAGAACACTACAGCCAAGGCGATGGATCGATAGGCGTAGAACCCCTTCCGAGAGGCTTCAGATCAATCCCATGCCAGCATCATGCATCGCGGCAGCCGTTTCGGGAGGGGAGGTATCCGGGAAAAGATAAAAACATAAAGGAAAACCTATTATTTTAGCAATTATTCGATTCTCTTCGATCGTACATTGATTTCGAAGATTCCGAAACCTTTCATTCCTTCACTTGATCACCAGCCTACGGAGTTTTGGCAGAGGCCGTTAATTTTACTAGTTGCCCTTCGTATTCTAGATGCCGAAGGTCATTGAGTCCCCTATATATTTGGCGTAGATCTGGCGTAGTTGTACAGCGTTTTGGCCGCGTTTTTGACTACTTTCGCCGGCGTTATTGTTAACACCTTTTTCGTGGTCAGGGTCGTTGGACTTTTGATTTCTCTTCGGATGGGCTAGAATTTTTGCGGAGAAATTTTTGGGTGTTTAATTCGGAATAGCGTGAAAACTCGAAGATCTAACAAAACCTTGGAATAAACCTTAGCTTTTATCTTCTCAGTCACTGTGACAAGGCTGGTGTACTTGTTGAGCAGTATGCAGAGGCTTTTGTGCGTGAGGCCGCGTTGGCCAGTTTTGGACTTGTCCCCGGCGTCCTTAAGGGTACCTATTTAATTAAATTTACTTTGCTTTAAACGCAAGTCTTTAGACTAATACAGGTATTGAACCCTTCTAAACAGCTGGGCCTGATTCAATTCGCCCGTAACTTCTGCATGAATTGGCAGTAGAGCTATGTGGACCGCTGACGACGGTGTTTCGGTAGTCACTTTACAGCTGTACATTACCTTCTGAATGGAAGGAGGCTGTCATCCTTCCTATCTTCAAAAATGGCGACAGGAGTCTGTCAGCCAATTATAGGCCAGTCAGTCTGAATAACGTCATGGTCAAACTTCTTGAAAAGCTATTGAGAAATTTGTTGGAAGGTCACCTGAATAGATTTAATCTACTCAGTAGTGCACAGTACGGATTCCAGAAGGGGTTTTCATGTCTGACGAATTTGTTGGTTGCTCGTAAAGCTTGAGCTGCGACAGTGAGCAGTAGTTATGCAGTGGACGTGCTTTTCGTCGACTTCTCGAAAGCATTTGACAAGGTACCCCACTTGAGGCTATCACCAAATTGAGCTCCTACGTAGTATCTAGCCGCGCCCTTCAGTGTGTATTTACATTCTTGCAGGGAAAAGAACTGTACCCGTGGGTCGCAGCTTATCCTTTAGACAAGCGGTCCTTAGCTGTGTCCTACTGGTCTCGGTCCGATGCTGTTCTCCATCTACGTAAACGATCTCTCTGGGATGTTTGAGGTATCATCACTATTGTTTGCTGATGACCTAAAGCTGTGGAATGTTGTAGATGTCCATGTGGGTTCAGCATACACTGGACAGACTCTGGGACTGGCATACTTTGTGGCTGAGGGTTTCGTTCTTCGTATAGGGCAACTTTCCCACCTTTGAGGTACGTGCTCCCTGGGGTCGAATTCCCCCTTGTCTCCAACCAAGTAGACCTACGCATCCTCTATACCACGTCTTTGCATTCTGGTGACAACTAGAAGAATTCCGCAAATAGAGGTTTCAGAATGTTGTGGTTGACACGCCGTTCTTTCGGAGTCTTAACGGCCGACATGTTTGTGAAGCTTTTTTCAGTTTTCATTCGGCTCCTACTGGAATAGTACATCTAGGCTTACCCGCCTTGCCTCGTTCGGGACAAAGTGGAGCTCGAGAGGGTTTTGCGAGCAGGTACCAACTTGGTCGAAGGGTTGCGGGGAGAAACGTACGCTGTCGTCTACTTAGCTTGGGTATGTATTCAGTGCACTACCGACGATCTCGAAGAGACCTAATCTTTATTTACCGCATTTCAACAGGGAAAGTTGGACCGGACTTGAGCTACCTATCTAGCCCGGCTGGGTTGCCTTGTCTTCGCGGTCATCTCATAAAGCTACACAAACCGCGTTCTGACCGGAACAGGGCGGAAACTCGGTTATCGTGTAGAGTTATTGAGCGCTGGAACTCGCTTCCAGAAAGTGTAGTCAGTGGACCTATGGTTAAGGATTTCGAGCGTCAGTTAAACGCTCTTGGGTGACAACACGGAACCTTTCCCTTCCCCTGATCATACCCGTTTTCTAACTTTGAGTTCCTATTCTGTGCTTCTCCTCACTCTTTGATGTTATCCTTCGTTTAAATGACTTTTCCTCCCCTTTATCTTCAATTTTCCCTCTACCTCTTTCTTACACTTGATCTGCACAGCGGGGACGGCTAGTGCAAAGAACGTGGACAGTAATTGGGTGACCCGGGTGTGTGCTCTCGGTATTTCGTTTTAGCTCTATCAAGACCTCGTAGCACCTTATCATTTCCTGGCTCAACAATCCGCTCAGGAAAGAACACTCAATGGATTTTCTTATCGTTCCAGTCCCATCTGAATCTGAAACCTCAATTTGTCGACCATATGTTTCCTACTGGTTCTGCGCTCCCCCTGCAGTTGTCCCGGCTTTTTGTCTCATAACAACTTATTGTAGTATCGCAAAAGTAACACTGCGCTATATTGGAAATTATCTGCACTGCTGTAATAACTAGGTTTGACTTTATTATAGGCACAGCGTCAGATCCAAAGCTATGCGCACTGATTCTTTGTTGGAAGTGAAGAGCAAAGTAATCCTTTTTCATTACACTCTACTCCCAGTTTGATGCTGAGTTCCGCAGGATTAGTATCGATCTCAACAGTATGACTAAGTTTGATGACTTCTACAATGTTCTGGAATACGTCCACCAGCTTCAAACCATTCCTTTTGTCGTTCAGTATGTGGATCCGAAAAACTCAGATCTTCTTCCTATTAATAACGACAAAAATTTTGCTGTAGCATTATCCGTGTCAAGACCTTTACTGCGCATTTTACTGCAGCGGAAAGGCAAGTCCTCTACTTTTCACATTTTCTGTCTAGGTGAAAGCTACGGGGAAGTTTATGGTTACAAAGCTGCCAAAACGAATAAACTCCATAAGAGTCCCGCGAGTGCCTTACGTTCCTTTGGAAGCACCGACAAATTCAAACCTCCTGACAAATCAATTAGCATACAAAATGATTTCCAGCTAGTCTCCTCTATATTAGACGTTAACATCGTTCCCAGGGAGTTACGCCGGTCAGTGTACATGCCTCTTCTTTTACATATTTTTTCTCTCCATATGCGAGATTCATTATTTGTGTTTCACCTTTTCCCATGCGATTTCCGTCACCTTTATGGAGTCTTTAATATTTGCTCGCACCGCTACTACGTAGCTACAACGTACTTTTGCCTTACCGAAGGTGTTAAAACCTAACAATTTCCAAAGCACACAATGCACCGGTCTAGTTTTGTGTCACCGTCCACCATATGTTGACATTCTCATCACAGTCTCGAGTTGTTACGCCTACATTAAAAGTAGCTTTCATTGACATATGAACTATCAAACAATACGAACCATGTCTTCAGGTTTACGATGAAACATTTCAGTGGTCGATACGGTTCTATTGGTCTGGGTTTCTGCTCCTTATATCAAGCTCACGGATAGTAAGGAGACACGACTGCAGTCCGCTGGATAAGTTCCACTGGCAACTGCTCATACAGCGTTCTAGATACTGGCATACCTACCGAGTCGCTCTATCAACCACCACCTATGCCAGCTACTGCGAAGGTAGAAATAGGTATAAGCAGAACTTGGCTGATCGGCTGTTGTACGAGAAGAGGTTAGCTGATGAAGTCTCGGAGAGTCCGAAGAATTTCCTTGTTGATGTCAAAGACGCTGCAGTTCACATCCGTTAACTTTGGCGTTGGTGCGGGCCAACGGAACTTTGGCGCACGCGGATTATCACAAGGCTTGGTGTACAGTATGCAGGGGCCTGTGTACGTGGGACGGCGTTGACACGCGCTGGATTGGTTTCTAGTCCCATAGGTTTCGTGTCCAGCTGAATTTAGTGTTGTTGAAACGCAAGTCCTTAGGCGTCTGCAAGGGGTGAACCCGTCTAAAGCAGCTTGGCCAGATTTCATTCACCTATGGCGGCTAACTGAGCTGGCTGCGACCGTTTCAGAAATCCCTCTACAGCTGTAATATCTGAATGGAAGGAAACTGTCATCTGTCCCATCATTACAAATGACGACAGGATTCCGCCTGTCACAGGCCAGCCAGTATGACAAGCTTTGCACTCAGACTGCTTGTAAAGCTAGCGAGGGATTCCTTGGAGTGTCACCCGAATAGACATACTTTACTGTGTAGTGACCGCTCCTTAGGCCACTGTTGCTCTCCATTTATGTAATCAATCTCTCTGTTAAGCTTGGGGTATCATTGCTATCACTTGCTGATGTCCTGAAGCTGTGGTATATTGTAGATACTGTATATTACCGAATATAACCCCTCTATGGCTTGGGCAACTGTATGACTTAGCAATAGCAACTTTATCCGACGTCGTATGTCTTTATATTAGCCGACCCCCCAAAAATCTACCGGTTAGTGCTTTTCTGTCACCTTTTATCCCATGTTATTGCCTGTGATGGTGTTTGATTTTGTACATTTCCGTATGTTTCTGTTACTACTATCCGTCGCGAACGTCAAATCTGCAATATACCGAGAATATTCGCCACACAACTAACTTGTATAGTTATAGGCACGTTGCCCGCAGTGCTGCGTGGACATCATACAAAAGAGCACTTCAACCCCTGTCCGGAATACCGTCCGTCACTAGCGGTTGGTGCTAAGGGGAGATAGCGGTAGAGGTGTGCAGTGAATTCCCGGGTGGATTTTGCACGTGACTTTTCAAATTGTGTGGATAACCTTTTTATAAGTTGACCTCTACAGAAATGAAAAATTGTCTAAATATCATCGGCTTATCCTCGATAATATACCTTATTCCTGAATGTACTGAAACCATTCAGTATGTCATTGATAAGTCCTGGAACTGCTCTGCTTTCTGGCTACTGCTCATCAGGTAATGGGTTCCATACTTCCTATTTTAGTAACTTGTTCCGCCTCGAGTTATGTGATAGGCGGGTTTAAATTTCCCCGTGTCTCCGACCAGGTTGACCTAGCCGTTACCCATCCTTAGCATTTACACTCCAGCGACAGCTGGTATTTTCAATCAGGGGGCCCCGTATGTTGTGGTTAATTCGCCGCTCTTTCAGAATCCTAACGGCCGACGTCTTTGCGAAATTGTTCTCAGCTTTCGTTCGGCCCCGTCAAGAATATTGCGTTTGGGCTTGCTAGCCCTGCCTCGTTCCGGGACATAATGGAGCTGGAGAAGGCTTTATGAATGAGAAGGTTGGTCAGAAGTTGTATTGGCTATTTAGTCCGGCAAAGTTGCCTGGTCTACACAATCATCCTATGAAGTTGCACAATCCGCGCTCTGACCGGATTATGGCTGAGACCTGCTTATCGTGCTGGGTTATCGATTGTTGGAACGCTTCTGAAAATGTGGCCAGGGAATCTACGGCTAAAGATTGTAAGCTTCAGTTGGGCGCTCTTAGATGGAAACAAGAAACCTTTTTCTTAACATTCCTTTATCTCCATATCCCACTGTCTTGTGAGTTAACTTGTTGAATGAAAGACTAGAGGCAAGGCACCTCGAACAAAACCTCTCTCTCAGAATGGACAGCCGGGAAACCATCTTGACCACATCGGCAGTACTCCCTCTTCTTGATTTTCTTTCTCCTCTCCCCTCTATTCTTCCCCGTCTATTGAACAAGAGACTGCCGCTGATCTCACAGTTGCTGCCATCCATGCATGTAGATCTTCCATCAAATCTAGTGTTCCATTTCACATGATTTTTTAACGTCCGCACTCTAGGACTCTCACACTTCACTCGCTTTGTATTGATGTACGCTGTATCTCCGAAACACGCATACAAGGTAACAGTGTCGTGACAAATCTTCGACTCACTGGTTCTGAACCTGACGACGATAGCTACACCCTTCGCGTCTCTGGTGACACTGTGTCAATGGTTCAAGGTATTTGCGTTATTGGTATTTCCCTCAGCAAACATGCTCAATGCGATCTACTCGACTGGATACTGGTGAACAGCCGCATGTGTGCGGTTCGACTTCGAACCTCTGTCGGGGTTAATAGGCAGCGTCTGAAGACGGCGTGCCTTTTCCTCGCCTCAGCTTATGCCCCTACTGAATGCAGTTCAGAAGGTATCAAAGACGACTTTTGTCAACAGCTCTCATCTCTTCTTAGGATGGCGAAGAATACTGGCATCCTGACTCTTGCTGCTGACATGAATGCCCAAGTGCGTCGTCTTTCAGACTATGAACAACACATGGGCGGCCGCTTCAGAGCCTATGCACGCCTAACAGACAATAGTGATCGATTCCTTCAACTGCGCCGACCACAACCTTTACCTTAGCAGCATTGCTTTCCGGCAAAAATGTGCTCACCGAGTCAGCTGGCGCCCACCGCATTCTTCAATGACCTGGACCCAAATTGACCATATTGCCATCAGCTACAGATAGCGCACCTCAGTCTAAGACTATCGCTCAATCTGGAGTACGTGCCTTGATTCCAACCATGCTCTAGTGCGCAAACGTTTGGCGCTCACTCTTCTCGCTTCAAAGAAAGGAGTATCTTCTAACCTTCTTACTTACCACTTGAACTCACATTCTGCAGTTCCACAATATCATGACGAACTAGCCCACAAAATGTCACTAATGAATGATGTTGATGAACCGAATGTTATCTGGGATCATCTCAAATGCGCCATGAAGAATGCCTTTGACGCATGCTGTGCACCCAATTTGAGACGTCGTAACTGAATGGATCTCTGAGGTATCGATCAGCTTGATCGAGGCATGGAAACAGGTTCCGATGGGCACTGAGTTTCAGCGTACCCGTAAATCCCTGAAACGACGTCTGACAAGGAGTCTTCGAATAAACCGGGAATCTTGGTGAGTGGCAAAGGTCTGTGCGGTGGAGAAAGCCAGTGCCATTGGGAACAGCCGAGTGCTATTCCAGCTCATCGGGAACATGGATCTGAGAAAGTCAACATTTAGCGAGACAAAAGCCGAGAAGGAAGGACAGTTGATTCATTCTCAACCCCGTCGACTAGCCAGTTGTGCGGAAAATTTCGAAGAGCAGTTCAGCAGGTGTTATGTGACTGCCGCTTGCCCAATCACCCGAGCCGATGTGGGAAATAGATATCACTCCTCCCACTTTGGAAGCGATTCGACAAGAGCTTTCTGGATTGAAACGAAACATGGCTCCGTGACCCGTCAACCTTCCTTCATCTCTGTTGAAGAATGGTGATGATTCTGTAGACTGGACTAGCTTCCCTATTTAACACGATATGGGACACTGAAGAGGTGCCTTTAGGCTGGCGACTGTCAACTATCGTGCCCATATTCAAGAACGGTCGGCGTACTTTGTGCGAAAATCATCGGGGCACTAGCCTTCTTTCCGTTGTCTCCAAACTTCTCACGGATATCATTATCTGACGACTCACTGGACCTTGTGGGAACCGAATCAGGCTGGCTTCTGTACTGGTCGTGATTGTATCGACCAAATATTTAATTTTCGCCAAATTTTAGAGCAGAGCCACTTACAGACTAACGACGATGGTGGTTTCCTTGACTTGAAAGCCGCCTTCGACTCTGTTGACCGCGCCAGCTTGTGGCACTCTTTATCCATGAAAGGCGTGCCGGAGAAATTCCTCTCTCTCTCTCTCTCTACCGTGATTCCCGAGGCCGTGTAAGAGTCGACGGGAAACTGTCTCCTAAGTTCCCACTGCAGTTGGGTTTCCCTAAGGTTGTCCTAAATCTTCTCACCTCTTCAACTTCCTGATCGAAATGATCATGAACGACTCGCTTTTCTCAGACTCTACCGGAGTGGAAGTTTTCCTAAGCCACCGACCGACAAACCTTGAATATGCGGACGACGTAGCTCCCCTTAGGTCGGATGCATTGGTCATACTAAACTACTGGATAAACTGATGCGTGGCACTGCTGGCTTCATCTTGTGTTTTGCACCTTCAGTGCAAAACTGTGTTGCAATACTGGACCGACACACATGTTCTGGCTATCACCGAACAGCCACTGGAAGTGATGCATCGGTCCACACCTTGGTAATTGTATCACCGCTAGTAGTCACATCACTAAGGGAGTTACTTCACGTATCAGCA